GTACTTCATTTTGTTATCCAATCCAAACGTAAAAACATGAAAAGAAAAAAAAAAACTCGCAAGATCATTTCCAGTAGCCTCCTAATGCCGCCGCTCAATTTTCAATTCTCTCCAGCAACTAGGTCAGCAATCGAATATACACTAGATGGTTGTAGACCCCGGAAGTTGTAGACCGTGCACCTGCCAGTCACTGAAGAGCTGTGAAGCCACGGATGTCAAACTCAAGCGCCTGTCTGGGTCCCTTTTGTGGTACAGCACAACAGTAAACAAAGTGTCAAGATGGATGTAGATGAAGACAGACATTCTCTGTTGGCAATGATTCCCGAGATCGAGAATTTAAAGCCAGAACAAAGAGAATGTTTGGTGAATTTTATCAAGGGGAAAGACGTTATTGCCCTTCTTCCTACGGGATTTGTCACAACCAAATAGCAGCGATTGCTTAAATAAAAACAATGTGAGTGAACAAATACTAATGCTGCAAGGTCATCCGGTTTCCACGAAGTGAAACCCGCTACATTTCCAGCATGTGTGCACAATCTTGTGGCAATTTTGTCTCGTGAAATCTTGTGGCACGAGATCTTGTCCTATCCCTAATAGATGTAGCTGGTGTCCTTGAGGATGGCCCAAGAGACAGCAGATTGAGGTTTTGTTGGGTCTAGTCAAAGATGAAGGAGATCTCACTAAACATGAGATTTAGGGACTTTTATTTAGGAAAAAAAAAAAAAAATCCAGGCGGAATTTATATACAGTAAATGTCCTGTAACATTTTTTTTGTGATTTTTTGGGGTTATTGTTGTGTTTGTGGGTTTGGAGTAAAAACTAGTCCAGATTCTTCTCAAAATGGTTGATTGGCTGATTGGTTTTCTTTATTATCCAGATCTATATCAGTCCGTTCTCCACGCCGCTCACTGCGTCGCAAGCTGGACAAACATGATCTTCCAATCAGATTCAATTTTTTCAGTAAATTAACCTTCTTTCACCCCAGATGAACAGAGTTTAGTGCAGCTTTGTGGTCAAAAACACTCAAAAACTGACTATGCGTTGCTTCCGGTGGCCTCTGCAATTCCAAGTACTATATGACATCACACAGGACTGTGACCTGATCACAGCCAGGAGTTTCTGATTCCAAACATCTGGCTGCGAGGTCGGACTTTGAAGTGCGGATACCTGTTTGACCAGTCACATTTTTGGTCCACAGGTTTTGCTAAGTTCAGCAGTTCTGTTTAAAATGTGGTCATGGGCAAAGTTTAGGTGTTTAGTCCCGGTTGAACCACTTCTTGCCAAACCCTTACCTATTTTAACACGCTGTTGATCTTATAATCAAGGATTCACGCCACATTAGCAAAGTGGGTGAAGCTTTTTGCTCAAAGGCGCTACCACATCATGCACTAATAAAGTCAAAGAAGGGACTGAAGCGCCGACATCTAAACCGCTCTTTTCCGCAAACCTCCCACAATACCCCGAGCTTATCCAAACTAAAGGCCAAAAATAAACCAAAATCATTTCATACCATGACATCAGCTTTGGGTCTCATTTCTTACATTGTCACTTCCCAGAAAAGCTCCCCTGCTGTTTACATCCAGCCCAGTGTTATTTATGAAACTGAATAGGCTGCGTTCTGTACTGTACACTGCTGTAACCCAGTCTGAAATCTGAGCTCATCTTTTCCAGCTCCATCATGAAAGGCCTGGTTTCCTTTACGCCGCTGATGTTGGGGAAAGCAAATCCTCCCTGTCTCCCATTGCACAACGCTGTGTTCAAAAGCAGGTCACCCGTTTCACCTGACACCTGCACCTGCCGCCGAAATAGACTGCACCGAACCGTGTCCTACGTCCAATGTCCAATGTCCTGTCCAGAGAGTTTAAGAGTGCTTTCTGTGTTTGTGGATGTCAGGGTTGAACCAGGATAAGACCGTGTAACACTAAACTTGTTTTTTTTGTTTTTTTTTTTTTTTACCTAGGACTAATCCAAGTCAATATTTAAACTAAATTTAAACAAGGCCACACCAGCTCGTCAAAGATCTCTGCAGATCTCAGAAGCTAAAAAGCACTGGGCCTGGTTTGTACATGGGTAGGAAACCTCTGGGAAAATCAGGTGACACAGTGGGACAGCAGTGGCAAAAACTGGCGTTGTGTCCTTAAGCAAGACACTTCTGACCTGAATCACCTCGCAGCAGTAGGATTCATTCGCTCAACAGTAGGCGGGTACTTTTTTTATTTAACCAATCGCTGGTATTCGGTCATGACGTATGTAATGCGCCAAATCCCATAGGAACAGGGGCAATAACGTCTTTCCACCTTGATAAAATTGACCAAACATTCTCTTTGTTCCGGCTTTAAATCCTGGATCTCGGGAATCGTTGCCAACACAGAATGTATGGCTTTGTCTAAATCCATCTCGACCGCTTTGTTTACTGTTCTGTGTGTTCTGTACCACAAAATGGACACAAACAGGAACTTGCGTTTGACGTCATGGCTTCACAGCTTGTTGCTGATTGGCTGGTGAGCGGTCTACAACTTCCAGGGTTCTTGCAAAACATCTAGTAAATTCTGATTCGTGGCTTAGTCGCTGGAGAGAAATTAAATTGAGGAGGCACTGGGCAAGACACTTCACCCACATTGCCTCGAATAAAATGTGGTGTGTGGTGGTTGAAGGAGCAGATGGCACAGATTGGCAGCCTCACATCCGTCAGTCTGGACAGGTATAATATCTTACCACCAGTGAGTGTGGAGTGACTAATGCACTGTAAAGCGCTATATAAATTCAATGGGTAATGAATGAATGAATTAATTAACTAAACCGAGTCTAGACCAAACAACAAAGAAGGTTTCAAGTAAAAATAAACCAGAACTAAGGACTAAATCAGGTATATTCCAAGAACTAAAACCAATATGGCCTAGGTTTGATTTAAACTTGACTAAATGAACGTAGACTAAACCAGGTCAGAAATAGGACTAGACCAGGAGTTCTTAACCTTTTCAATCTTCGGGGCCCGACTTCTGTACAAAGTAACCCGGGTCCCTATCTCACATTAAATGCATTATATTGTACTGATTGTGGGGCCCCCAAGGAGGTGATCCTGGCCCTACTTTGGGCCCCGGGCCTTTTGGTTAAGAATCACTGGACTAGACTACTTACTTATGTACTTATATCTGTCTAAATAGTATTAACTCAAGGCTAAACCAAGTCTAAACTAAACATAAACCAGGTGAAGATTAGTTGTTAAATAAGGACTAAAGCAGGACTACACCTTGTCCAAACAGGACTAAAGGTTAAGGCACCCCTCCCTCACGTGGGAAATGTATTCTGTATTTAACCCATCCCCATCTCCAGATCTTGAACTAGTCCTGGTCAGAATTACATTAGCTGGACCCGTGGTGCATGTTTTGGGTTGATGGGGGAAACCAGAGTGTCCAGAAGAAACCCGCCTAGACACAGGATTAACATGCAAACTCCAAGCTACACTGGGCCAAAACCAGGCAACAAACAACAAACACCAGACTTATAATAATGAGACACCCAAGAGCGCTTAAAGGTCCATCAAAGGTTCGTTCGTTTTTCAAAATAAAACCTAAAATAAGAAAACGAAAAAAACAAACAAAAAAAACAACGATTTTCTTCATTATTTGTCTCCAAAACCAAAATGAAAAAAACGGTTAACGATTTGTTTCTTTCAGTTTTTGAATTTGTGTTTAAATGAATAATGGAAAAAACGGATAGCGGCCGTTTCCTGTTTTCGTAACTTAAACTGCGATGCCGGACTGAACCAGTACTAAGACAGGACTAAACCAGGACTAACATCAGGACTGAGTGTTGAGACGGGCCCGGAGGTGCACCCGCGTAGACTGTCAAGTGATCAAGACTGGACCAGGACTGAGACCGGAACCTGGATTAGTTCTGGTTCAGTTCTGGTTTAGACCTGGTTTATACCTGGCTCAGTCCCGGTCTCCTCAGTCCTGGTCCTGGTCCCGGTCTGGGCCCGATCTCAAACCAGATTGTCCAGAAGAAACCTGCCCAGACACAGAGAGCACATGCAAACTCCATGCTACACCGGGCCAAAACCAGGATCAAGCAGGACCAGGGACGTGATTGTAAAAAAATGAAATCTGAACCAGGACTTTGCCAGAAACAATGGCCTAAACCAGGATTAATTCTACTCAGAAATATACTGGACTGAAAAACGAACCTAAAATAGACTAGAAACTGACAAGTGTGTGTAAACCAGAACTAAACCAGGTCTCTGTCAGGTCTGAAGCAGTCCTTAAACAGACCGAGCGCCTGCCCGTGTGTGACTAAACATAGCCGCTCACATCACTGGCTTGTACTGTGCGACTGTGCTGTGGTACAAAGAGAGGACCGGCTCTGGCCCAGATCCAGGATTCCCAAAGCTCTCAGTCATAGAGCTACAGTCCAACAGAGCACACAGGAATGCTCCAAACACACCACAAGACCTGCAGAACCAAAATACACTATTTAAGGAGACTTTTATATATGGTGACTGTATTTCTCGTACTTTGCGGTCAAGGTTTATTCAGTACAACATATGGATATAGCTGCAAAGTGCAAACTCTTTCAGTAGGTCTGTAAACAACTAAACCAAGACTAAATCAGGACAAAAACATGTCTCAACTTGAACTAAACCAGATATCCTAAAGACCTAAAAAAATATTGCGCTTGTGTCTGTTATATAGTTATAATCTATGACATCTGTGGATCTTTATGTTATCACAATATTGATCTAAAACAGGTTCAATCAAAACAGAATCAAGTCTGCTGATTTCCACGTTACAAAACTGTGGTCCCCAATGGGAGCTGACGTCACAGGAAGTGTTAAAGAGTCTGTTTCTCTGCACGACACACCAGTCAGTAGCAGATTTATTTTCATTTGTACCAAAATGACAAGGAAACGCTGCCTATTCAGTGATACATATTTGTGTAGAAAACTGGGAATTAAAAATCTTGAATTCTTTTGTGTTTTGTGCACTGAAAAAACGGTCCGAGAGGGGTTGCTCAAATTGCAAAAACAAATTTGACAACAATAACATCACTTTTTTACGTTTCTCTGTCAAGCATGTTTAAATCTTACAAACATCGCTTGATTGTGGCCGATGTGAGACCTGCATGTTTTAATCAGGTTGAGGAAACATGAATGTTATAGTTGATGTTTCAGAAAAAAGGAAGATGTTTGAGAACCAACAAAACACAGACCACAGATGAACAAAGTAAGTAAACCAACTAAAATTATTTTAAAATTTTTCAAAATGAACTTCCTATTGAAACTGTTATCGTACTTGTACAAGGTGATGTGGCACTAGGAGACTTTATACCAGATGCCCTCCCTGTTACTGTGTTTAGAGGAAGAAAAGCAGCACATGGTGAGTTTTTTTTCTGCAGATACAGTTCTAATGTTCTTGTGATTCTGTTCTGGTCCGTTATTGTAGTAATAAGTACTTTAAGTGTATTTAAACATGTACAACAGAGTAGATCATCATGTGATCATCATGTGTTATTCGTGTGTCCACAGGCAGAGACCAGAGCTTCTTCACTGGAATAAATCTTCACACTGTCCAGCTCCAAACTGTGTGTCTCTGTCCCTGTGCTCTCTTTGTGTTTGATTCTGTTTAAGACAATACAGAACTGTAGAAAACTAAAGACTGTTTTTGTATTATTTTACAGAATTTGATCAATTAAATTAAATTATACATACTTATACATTTCATGATAAGGTACCATAAGATAAATATGCATATTCAGCATGATTTGTTCAAATTTCATCAACATGAAAAAGTGACGTTCATGTTCTGAGAAAAATATGTGTAGAGAGGATCAAAAAAAGTTTCAAAGCCTAAACATAATTTTATTGCGTGCAACCGCTGTCCATAACTTTTTTACGCAAATCCAGCAACTTTTTTTTTTCAGTGTGAGTTTGTCAGCTCTGTCATCTTAAAGTGTCAACTCTGTCACACGTTCAACTCAATGTTATAAAATATGTTAATTATGTTATTATGTGCAACTTAAGCCATGAAATGCTATTTAAACACATTTGTAAGTTCACAAATAATATTGTAGTAACTCAGAGGGTAGAGGTGGATTTGTCAACTCCGTCAACGACCGGTCAACTCAGACATGAAACCTTGAGCTGATGAGCTGAATTTTGAAGAAAATGTTTTCATAAGTTTACCTTTTAATTCAATGTAATGCCCTTTTTATTCAAATAAAAAGAGTTTTAAAAAGTTTTTTTGGACATGATACAAAAAAATTACTATAATGGTCATAGTTTTCTACAGCGCTTTTCCACCTTCGAGGCTCAAATCGCTTTATGACAAGGAACCACTCACACATTCACACACACACACTCATACACTAGAGTACACACACACACACACACACTGGGAGCGAGGTGGCTTAAGTGTCTTGCCCAACGACACAACGACAGCGTTCATCTGTGGGAGCTGGAATCACATCAGCCAACCTGTGGGCTGACCGCTCAACCCATGATGTTTATAATGTTCAACTAATAATGTAAATAAACCAATATCTTTATTATTAGACAATATTATTTAAATTTAAGGAGCGGGATTGGAACCGTCAACCTGCAGATCAGTGGACAAACGCTCTACCAACTGAGCTACTGCCGCCCCTAAATATAAATATTTTTAAAGAAACATGTCAGAATAATTTTATTATCCCATATTTGCTAAATACTGGTGTGATATTCTATGTCTATGAGTTAACCATTTATGTACTACAATTCTTTGATTTATAATGTACCAATCACTTGTCACTTGTTGAATAACCTCTGTGTGTTTGACAACTGTGTGCAGTGTCCTATCGCTCTAGTGAACCTCGAGATGATTCCTCACATGAAGCCAACTTCCACTGTCACACATGCAAGAGTTATGATGGTGTCTGTCCATACCTAAGGCACCTTGTTACGACCCAGCTCGTTTGGGGTGAGGGAAGTAACAAAAATAAAACCAAGATGTAAAATGGAATAAATTAAGTAATGTTTAATTAACAGGAATGTAAAGGTAAATTAACAAAACACTAAAAATATACAGAAAACAACCTAAACTAAGAAACAGAACAACAGAATAAACAGAGTTTTGTGCCAGAAAAGGGGTCACGCAGGCTTACACTAAAACGAGTGGTAAAACTTAGGGACACACACTAAACTAAACACAAGTTCCCCAAATTAAACCACATAAACCCACAAACAGAATCGAGTGACCAAATCAAAAAAGGCACAAAACAGAACTAGACTAACACACAAACACAAAACAAAATGGCAGACTGGCCACCAAGACCAGCAGCCCCGAGCAGGTGCTGGTCATCTCCTTAAATAGGGGGAGGTGGCTGCAGGTGAGGTGGGCGTCGACTTGCCCCACCAATCACAGACCAGGACTCCTGCAGCAGGAATCAAGAGAACTCTGCAGAAATATTACAACTAAGGCCTGGGGCTGTAACACACCTCCTGATTGTTAATCATGTTTTATGTGTTTGTACTATGCATAGCTGCACCAGTTTCTTATTATGTCTTGGCTGTTTCCCCTTCCCCTTGAGAATTATCGTTCTGTAACTAGGGCCTCCTAATGAAATAAAAAGAGGAGAACGGCCTTGAGTCATCAGAACGTGTGGAGACTGTTGGTTTTGATGCCCACTCTCTGCCCGTTCTCCTCGCGAGTAAAACTGAATTAATCTCTTGTCTTTCTTCTTGTTTACAATGTTTAGATAAACCTAACAAACACTTCCAGGATATAGATCTCCCTTAGGTTTAACTTTATAACATGTCATAAGAAAGATATTTTTAAAATGTTCTTCTACAAATTGCTGTGTTTTAAAGAAGACCTGTTGCTCAACTTCAAAGATAAATACAGCAAGTAAATGTGTTTAATGCTATACTGTGGAACATTCCAACAAAGCAATAACATCTCCTTAGACAGAAGCAGGTGGCCGATCCCCGATAAGAAGGTCACGTGGTACATTTTTAACTTGAACACGATAATTAAAAAATAGGTTCTGACTTCTGCTCATTTATTTCATTTAATTCTTCATACCCTTGTTGTTTTGCGATCCCACTGCTCTATTTGCATTGCAGATTCGCCGGCCTTTCTCGAGGTGTTTTTCCCATGAGCCTCCTGTGTTTAAGCCACAGTTTCGCCACTAATAATTGTACAGTGTGTTGTGTTGCTGTAGCCTTGTCTTTGCCTTGATGTTATTACACAAGACGCCCACTGTGAGGCCTTGAGCCGCTCCCACACGGACACGCACGGGAGGTACACACACTGGCCTTAAGCGTCTGTGTGTGTGTGTGTGTTTGTGCGTTTGTGCGTGTGTTTGTGTAGGAGAAGTGACGACAGCAGCTCCACCTGGGTAAATCACAACAAACACCAGACTTATAATAATGAGCTGCATTTATACAGCGCCTCTCAAGACACCCAAGAGCGCTTAAAGGTCCATTGTGTAAGTTTTTAGTTGGAGGTCACCTAATCCGTGTATCATTCTTTCATTTGTGTTTCAAAATATAACCAAAAATAAGAAAATGAAAAAAAAAAAAACACAACTATTTTCTTCATTATTTGTCTCCAAAACCAAAATGAAAAAAACAGACAACGATTTGTTTTTTTCAGTTTTTGAATTTGTGTTTAAATGAATAATGGTAAAAATGGATAGCGGCCGTTTCCTGTTTCCGTGACTTAAACTGAGATGCCGGACTGAACCAGGACTGAACCAGGATTGAACCAGGACTGAACCAGGACTAAACCAGGATTGAACCAGGACTGAACCAGGACTGAACCAGGACTAAAACAGGACTAATCCTGGACTACACCAGGACTGAATTAGAACTAAAACAGGACTAAACCAGGACTGAGTGTCGAGACAGGCCTGGAGGTGCGCCCGCGTAGACCGTCAGGTGATCAGTACTGGACCAGTACTGAGACCAGTACCTGGTTTTGTCCTGGTTCAGTTCTGGTTTAGACCTGATTTAGACCCGGTTCAGTCCTGGTCTCAGTCTCGGTCTCAATCCCGGTCTCAGTCCTGGTCAGGTCCTAGTCTCAGTCTCGGTATGGTCCGGGTTTCAGTCCCGCTCTCAGTCATGGCCTCAGTCCCGGTCTGGTCCCGGTCTGGTCCCAGTCTCAGTCCCGTTTTCAGTCCCGGTCTGGTCCAGGGCTCAGCCCCGGTCTAGTCCTGGTCTCAGTCCCGGTCTCAATCCCAGTCTCAGTCCTGGTCAGGTCCTAGTCTCAGTCCCAGTCTGGTCCCGGTTTCAGTCCCAGTCTCAGTCCTGGTCTCAATCCTGGTCTCAGTCCTGATCACTCAACAGTCTACGCGGGCGCACCTCAGAGCCCGTCCTGACACTCAGTCCTGTTTTAGTCCTGGTTCAGTCCTGTTTTAGTCCTTGTGCAGTCCTTGTTTAGTCCTAGTTCAGTCTTTTTAATCCTGGTTTAGTCCTGGCTCAGTCCTGGTTCAGTCCGGCATCGCAATTTAAGTCACGGAAACGGGAAACGGTCATTATCCATTTTTTCCATTATTCATTTAAAAAATCGAAAACTGAAAAAAAGTAATCATTATCTGTTTTTTTCATTTTGGTTTTGGAGACAAATAACGAATGAAATTTTTTGTTTTTTCGGTTTCTTATTTTTGGTTTTATTCTGAAAAACCAATGAAGGAATGATACACGGATTTCACCTGCTTGTTTCTATGGCGATGTCATTGCTCTGCCTGGAATGTTCCACAGTGTGACATTAAACAGCTCTACTTTTACATTTATTCCATTACAGGTGGTTTTATAGCAGACAAGCACCTAGAAAATCACATTCTGACTGTGAGCGGGGTCGCCTCTCCACAGATCTGACCTGTAACTTGGTCTAGTTTGGTCTCCGTGAAGTTGGAAAGGTTTAATATCAGAAAAACATTTGACAGGCTCACTTTTCCTCCAGAAAAGTTACACAATGCACGAGACGATTTTGTGTTTTCTAGACAAACCAACACCTTAAGAACAAACAGATAAATTCAGATTTGTCCTTGTATATGTGTTTGCTTTTATCGTGTGCGTCAGTGTTTTTGGCTCAGAGTGTATGATTGTGCATTTGTATTATGTCGCCCACTCGCTGATTCATGAATTTCGCCTGTGAGGAATTGTGGTGCCCGTCTAAACTCAAACCTACTGTACTTCACACGTACCACTTACACAATGACCTCAGCAGTACTAGGTGAGAGCTGACTCGTGAAAATACTACACCAAATGTACTGAGGTGGACAAGAACTGCAGTACAGGATGTATGAACGTATTTTGGATATGTGAAAAAATGAAAACAAAAGGAGCAGGGTTTCCTTTTCTGTTTTACTGACAAAATTTCAAAACTTTGCCATGACTTTTTCATGACCTAAAGTGAGTTTTCCATCACTTTACGGCACCTGCATGTGTAGAATTGATCAGACTTTTAGGGATAAATATGAATTGTTATGTCGTTCCACTCACCTTATAGTTTGGGATTATAGTTTTTTAACATTCAAAATACTGTCAGTGCATTTATTATCGTCTCTTTAAAAAAAAAAAAGTGCAGATGTTCAAAAATAATCATAATAGTCTAATGAGAACTTAACAGAATGCAGTAGTTGCTTAAAAGACATACGAAAATTCCATA